ATAAGGTGAAAATACCTCTAATTACGGAAGTCAGAAATAGAGAATGAAAAAGTACAAGGGTCAACTTGTAATTATTGAAAGCTAAGGTGTTAAAGTGTAAATAAATATAATGAAAATTACTATACCAAAAAAAAAAAAAGAAATGACATATATATGATAGTAATGCAATCTAGAGAATATTTCAAGTCGAAAAAACTTGCAAGTTATTTCAAGAACCCATGAGATATTGAAGAGGATTACATGAATGGCAAGTTATGCTAAGGTCAAAATTTAATTTCCAAAAATCTTGAGTTATAAGTGTAATTATGAAAAATTTACCCAAAACCAAAAAACTCACCAATTGAAGGAAAAATTGGAAAATGGATCCTAATGGGTTTTTCAAGAGTAAAAAGAGGCATTAAAGGTGAAAAGACCTCAATAAAAATATATTGAATTAAAAAGCTTATTTTTTGGCTGATAAATTAGCATTTAGTCAAAATACATCATTTTTAAAATCATGTAAAGGCCCTAACATAATTTTTAAAATCATGTAGAGACCCTAAATCATTAGTGTAAAATGAGGAATAATAAGTAAGCTTTACTTCATTTGATACCTTAAAGAAGCACATATTAATTTTAATTTTATGTTTGTGTGTGTGTGTATTATACCCTTTCTTATTAATTGCATTCCATATTTCCTTTTTTCTTTTTTAAAAAGAGTTTTCTTACAATAACTTCTGGAGGTCTTATAATTAATTATATATTAAAGGGACCGTTGCTAAAATCAAATTAGGTGTTACAAGGATGTATGTTCAAAATTTTCACATTGGGTGTTGTTATAATAAAAAGTCATCATTCTTTTCCAAAATGACAAGTTTAAAATGGGGGTATTTGTTCGCGGCCAAAAGTGTGCTACAAGAGTACGGGTCACCATAAGTAGTTTGGTGATGATAAAAAAATCATTTTCATGAGAATTAATGCAGAAGGTGTGGTTATAATTCCAAACTAGATTGTACAAAATCAATTGAGATGTTTTCAAACTAAAATGAAATAAAATGACAGAATCAAAGTGCTTCAAGTGAAATTAAAATGAAAATTTGATATAAAGATTATAATTAATGGGACTTAAGAATATTCCTCCTAATTGTATTTCATAACGTTTAATTAGCCTCCTTACAAATTCTTGATAATGATGTGTGATAGCCAAAGATACTTGAAAACGTATTTTAAAATTTTTTGTCAAGTCAAATCGAGTTTTTAACTAACAAAATTTACGCTGTTACATGCGACTTTACCTTAACTTTACACTCAAGTTGTTTCTTTCAAGCAGTACTCAAGTACATAAGTCAACTAATTAGTGGCCAATTAATCAGTAGCATTAAATAGACTTTTAATAATGACTTTTAATTGTCACCACAAAAAGTGAATACTTTCTGCGGCCACACTAACGGTCGCCCCAAAAAAGTAACTTGTTATGTGGTTTGTCACCATTGTAGCTAAAAATAATTTTTTTAAAAAAATAAATGAGATTCAAGACTGTAAAATTAAAAATGAAGTAAACTAGATTTTTTTAAAAAAATTAACATAACGTTAAAATATATGAAATAATTTTATAAAATTACTGTCTGAATGATAACAAAATAACTTAGTAATTATTTTTTAAAGTTCTCAATTGTATTTATAAAATAAATTTCTTGTGTGTGTGTGTGTGTATACACAGAATGAGAAACGAATGAAATAAAATATTGAGGTATATAATTTCAATTTTAATTGTTTGCATGTTATAACTTTAAAGTATTGTTATATTGATACACACATATTTTTGGGATATATATATATATATATATATAATATAACAATACAACTCAAGAGAGTTAAACCTCCTCAATTGATCGACCCACTTGTGCTTGACACACCCTAACGACAACTCATAACAAAAGAAGACAAGAAAAATTTATGTTAAAATAAAAACGTTTTGCCTAAAAGGAACTAGAAGATGGAAAACATTATACTTCCTCCCGTCTTTAACATACAAGAGCTATTGAATTAATTATAACAAATTGGGAAAGATAGATAAATTAGTTAATTATAATAAATATAATCTAATCTCTATGAAATATTTGTGTAATATTATATTATATATTAGTTTGTAAGTTCAGTAAATTAGTTTAAAAAAGAATAATAAATCTGGGGAACAAAATGAATTAAAATCTTATATTTAAAATCAAATCAAATTCTCTAAATAGCTCGTCTATTATGGACGGAAGTATGTTGAGTGTGTTATTTTGTCTTTTTCCTTTTTCTTCTCAATACATGAAGCCACTTCATCCATCCTGGAATCCATTAAACAAGTGAAATAACTTCAAATCAGAATCAATTAAGAACCACATCAATTGGATATAAGCATTCAAATATAAATGTGTTCTTTGTCCTTTACTGTCCGAACAAAACTAATGTTAGACATGCATGCTAATAAATCAATAATTGTTAACAAAGAACAAACCTTTGGCTTTTTCTCTTGAACTAAAGTTATACCGGAAAAGTCCTGAAAATTATCATATTGGAGCTTGGAAAGTAAGGACAAATTCTTTTCAAAAAGTTCGCCGCTTTCGAGAGTGATGCGTGAAGCTGATACAAAAAAATTGAATGAACCAATGAAATTGTACATATATGATTCAGTTTCCTCAAGAAAAAGTATACCGTAACCTTTTCCTTGGTTTACAATCACAAAACTATCCGAAAATGGTTACATAATCTTAATATTATTCCCTTAAAACTTATCATTGACAAACTCAATTATTTTTACATATTTTGATATCTTTTATATGAGTTTTGTCAACTTAATTGGTTCCTTTTGGCCTTAATTGATTATTAATTGGTTTGATATGTTTTATTTTGAATTATTATTTTATAGGGGCAAAATTGTCATATTTTGGTTTAATTGTGACTAATTGATTTTTGAGGACAATTAATGCTACCTTATCCTTGAATTTTGCTTGCAGTTTTTGGAAGAAATAATAAAAAAAGAAAAAAAATATAACAAAAAGATAATTAAAAAGAAGGACGTTTTGCCCCCACCCCACTAAACCTATTATTCATATGATCTTCAACGTGAGCTGACGGCAGAGAGGAGACCCACAAGCTGAACACGAGACCAACGAGCAAAGGGAGCTGATGGCGCCTTCCTCATTCTTCTCCGTTGATTGCCTAATTCGAGGTGGCTCAGTTGTTAGATTAAAAGCTTAATTATAATTTTTAATTCATTGTTTTAACTCTCATATTTTTTGGAGTGATGATTGCCTACGTTGTTGAATTGGAGAATTGATTATTATCATTGTTAATTGTGTGTTTCATTTTCAGTTCTTTCATCTTCAATTTATTTCAATCATTTTTATATAAAAATAACCAAAAAAAAGTATTTTAATTTCAATTTAATTCAAGGCATTTAGTTAGCAATTTTTCAAAATCAAAAATCTTTTTTTTTAGTTTAGGTTACTTGCATTTATTTACTAGGATTTAATTTCGTTTTCGGATCCTCAAAGTGAATACGACCCGGATTGTGCATTATATTGCATTAATTCGGTTAATTTTTGGAGTAACCCTAAAGCGACAAATTAAAGGCAATTAACTTCAAGTGGCGCTGTTGCCGGGGAGCCAAGAAATTGGTTCCGTAGTAATTAAGTGTGAAGTAGCCTTGATTGGGGTTCATTTGTTGAGCTATTTTTGTTAGTTTTTGCATTTTCTTTAGTAGTTTGCATTTTTTTTCTTTTGATTTTTCATAGCATTTCTTTCACATAGAAAATTTTTCAAAAACACAACTAAATATCTTATTTTTCATCCATTTGCATTTTTTATTTTCATTTTCATTTTACCTCTTGCATTTTCATTCTCATACACATACACTTGCATTGCACTGCATTCATCTGTTCTTTTTTTCTTAATTGCTTCTGGTTGGTTGATTGTTTATGCCAAGAAGGGATAGGTCTAAAACTCTAGTTCCTTCCAATCTTGAGCTTTAAAGTTCTTTAAGGGAAGTTAGACAAGACCAAAGGGTAGAAAGGACTAGTGAGGTTGAACTAGATAATTTAACTGGTCTAGATTTGGTGGTTGACTTAGGTGACATAATGGAAACTAATTACAACCCACTGGTGGTAATGGCAGAGAAGGCAATGGACATAATGGGGAACATGATAGAGTAGGAGAGAATAATGGAGGTAACCCTAGGAGAAGAACCATCAGGGAAGCCACTACTTCTAATGCAAATTATGATCCTTTTAATGTTGCATGCCCTAATGTTGATGTCAATTTTGAGATTAAAGGTCCACTGCTTAATTCTTTGCCTAAATTCTATGGTTTGACAGGTGAGGACCCGTATAATCATCTAAAATCTCTCTCTATGGTATGTGCTAGCATGAAGCCGGTTGGAGCTAATTTGGATGAGGTTCTTTGGAAGGTATTCCACTTGTCTCTGGAGGGCAAAGCGTGAGAATGGTATATGAGCTTGCCTAGGCATATGGCAGATGCCTACTATAACTGGAACAACCTCAGAAAAGCATTCTTAGAGAAGTATTTCCCCGCTTCCCGGACTTCTACATTGAGAAAAGAGATCTACTCTGCGAAGCAAGACTATGATGAGTCATTTTATGACTACTGGAATTGTTTTCAGGACTTGCTTTCTAGATGTCCACACCATCAGGATTCCAGATGAGCAGTTAGTCCAATACTTTTATGATGGACTTAAGACCCAAGACAAAGGGATGTTAGATGTTGCTTCTGGGGGTTCTCTCATTGATTTAATTGCTGAGGAGGCATGGGAACTTATCAAGAAAATGGCATTGAACCATCAACAGTACAGCATCAAGGAGTCTAAAAATATCAATGCAATGCATGCTAATCCTTCTTCAGTCCACATTCCTCAATTGGACACATTTACTTCTCAAATTGCTGCTTTGACTACATAGTTGAATAAGCTTACATCTCACACTCCTCCTGTTGACACTGGGAATCCTAATTCCATGGAGATGACTGCACCTAGTTGTGAGCATTGTAACTTTGTTATGCACATCTCTACTGCTTGCCCTCATAGATATGAGGAAGTTTCTGCCATGTATCAAGGAAGGGTCAATCAATCCAAGCAATGGAACCCACACTCAAATACCTATAATGAAGGGTGGAAAGCTCATCCGAATCTCCGATGGGGAGGAGGTGACAATAGGCAGGTTCAAGAAGGGTTTCAAGGGAATATGGTTCCTCAAGGGCAATCTTACTATGGAGGGTTGCAAGGAGAATCCTCTAGAGCCATGTCTACCTCGCAGCAACCACAGTCTAAGGATGATGAGCGATTTTCTCAAATACTCAAGGGCATTGAGGTAATGACTGAGCACATATCTAAGTCTGAAGCTAAATCTGAAGTGAGATTTGCAGCCCTAGAGAACAGGATGGAGCAATGGGAAACTAGAACCTCTAATTTGACTTCTTACATCACTAAGTTGTCAAATGGTATGAGTAAATAGCAAGCTAAGACTAGTGGTTCAATGCCTTCCAACACGGTGATAAATCCTAAATCTTTGAATGCAATTACATTAAGAAGCGGTAAGGAAATTGGTACTAAGAAAGTGCAATTCAAAGAAGATGAAGAGAGTGAAGAACCGGTTGATGAAGAGATAGAAGTTGAGTCTCCTCCTTCTAAAACCACTCAAGACATTCCCAAGACTACTTAATAGACCTCCATTCAATCCAAAGGGCTAATAGAGAAAGGATCACCTTCCAAAGGTGATGAGGTAAATATTTCTGACTTGCCTTTTCCTCATTCATATCTCATGAGTAAGAAAGTTGTTGAAAAGAAAGATAATAATGAGCTTTTTGAAATGTTTAGCAAACTTGAGGTTAATGTGCCATTACTTGATTTGATTAAGAAGATGCCTAAGTGTGTTAAGTTTCTAAAAGATCTATGTACAAACAAGAGGAAGTATAGGCATAGTGAGAGAATCCAACTAGAGTCTAGTGTTAGTCCTATTTTCAAACCACAGCTGCCTATTAAGTGTAAAGACCCAGGTTCCTACACTATTCCCTGTACCATAGGCAAAACAAATATTTCACATGCCTTACTAGACTTGGGTGTAGCCATAAATGTTATGCCTACCTCTATTTATGAGAGTTTGGGTATTCATGCCTTGAAAGACACCAGTGTTGTGTTAGGTCTAGCTGATAGGACTGTGAGACACCCCAAGGGCTTTCTTAAGGATGTTCTTGTGCAAGTGAAGGGTTTTGTGTTCCCAGCTGACTTTTATGTGCTAGATATGACTAATAAGATTAAAGCCGATGGCACTTTGATTCTAGGAAGACCTTTTCTTAGAACAGCCCAAACTATAATTAATGTGAAAGACGGGGTCATTACCATAGGCTTTGGGGACCAACAGATTACCTTCAATATTTCTGATGCGATGAGTCAAGGTTATGCAGACTGCTCTTACTTAGGTGTTAATTTGATTGATTATGCTATTAATGATGTTGATGATTTGCATGAATCTAAAATGCATGAATATGACTGGCATGATGAGATTGTTGAGCATGATGATGCATTTACTTGTTTATCTACCCCTCATTCTTCTTCTTTTTGCTCATGTTATGGTGACGTGGTGTGCGTTAACTGTTTAGAAGTTGATCGCTTCCTTTCCATCTCTCATGATTTTAATGCATCATTTTGTCTTAACCGTGATTCTGCTTTGAACATTACACTTGATGATAGCCTTGAGAAAGGTGAGTTTGTTGATTTTGTAGGTACTAATGATAAAGGAGCTGTTACACAAGCTACACCAGTAGTTTCTCCTTTGAGTAGTGTTGAAACATTAGAAGAGGCTAGCAACAGGCTTGCTGCTGACTTAGTCACTTCTAATCCCACTCTTTCTTGTGATTTACTTGATGTTTCTACTAATAAAATTGATACCGATCCTTCTTTTTGTAAGTTATCTAAGAATGGCACTGAGTTGGAAAGTGGAGGACATACACATTATGATAAGCTTATATCTCCTTCCCTAAGCCATATAGACATGCCGCTTGCATTGAATGCACTTGACATAAAAGATTTGGTTCCTTCTATTGTGCAACCTCTTGATTTAGAACTGAAACCCCTCCCCCTAATTTGAAATATGTCTTTCTTGCTGTTGATTCTAAATTGCCTATTATTATTTCTAGTTCTTTGAGTAGTTCTGAAGAAGAAAGATTGATTTCTGTGTTGAAGAGTCACAAAGGGGCTATAGGATGGTCTTTAGGGGATATTCCAGAGATTAATCCCTCAGTTTGCACACACAGGATTCTTTTGAATGAAGGGTCCAAGCTAGTTAAGCAACCACAGAGGAAACTGAATCCTCTCATTCTGGATGTGGTTAAAAAGGAAGTCTCTAAACTGTTGAGTGCTAGGATCATCTATCCCATATCAGATAGTGAGTGGGTAAGTCTGGTACAGGTAGTACCAAAGAAGAGCGGTATCACAGTAGTGAGAAATGAAAATGATGAATTGATTCCAACTAGGGTTCAAAATGCTTGGAGAGTGTGTATAGATTATAGGAAGTTGAATAATGCTACGAGAAAGGATCAATTTCCATTACCTTTTATAGATCAGATGTTGAAGAGAATTTCAGGAAAGTCTCACTATTGTTTTCTTGATGGTTTTTCTGGCTATTTTCAGATGCCTATCGCTTCTGAAGATCAGGACAAGACTACCTTCACATGCCCTTTTGGTACCTTTGCTTATCAAGGGATACCATTTGGGTTGTGTAATGCTCCAGGCACCTTTCAGAGGTGTATGATGGCGATATTTAGTGATCTTCTAGAGCAAAACATGGAAGTTTTCATTGATGACTTTACTGTTTACGATCATGCAGCGGTTCAATACTTGTTTAAGAAGCCTCAGTCTAAACTTAGACTGCTGAGATGGGCTTTGCTGCTACAGGAGTTTGATATCGAGATAAGAGATAGAGCTAGAGCAGAGAATCATATAGCTAACCACCTTAGCCGGATACCTGAAAGCACACAGGGAGTTGATTCTTCTGATCTTGTTATTGACTCTTTTCCTGATTCTGCATTTTTTGTCTTGGCTATTCATGAGCCTTGGTATTCTAATATAGTTAATTATCTTGTCACTAACCTTGTACCTCCTTCTATGTCTAAATTTCATATTATAAGCTGAAGAGGGAGGCAAGATACTATATCTAGGATGCTCTAATCTTGTGGAAGCAATGCAGTGACCAGATCATCAGACGCTGTGTTCTAAACAATGAGATCCACTCTATCCTAACCTTTGCACATTCTTTATCTTGTGGGGGGCATTTTAGTGCTAACAGGACTGCTAGGAGGGTTTTAGAGTGTGGTTTTTATTGGCCTTCTCTATTTAAGGATGCTTATTCTTTCTGCAAGTCTTGTGATAAGTGTAAGAGGTTTGGAGTTTGGGAGTTTGGGTAGGAAGCATGAGATGCGTCTAAGACCTATGCATTTTTGTGAAATCTTTGATGTGTGAGGCATGGACTTTATAGGTCCCTTTCCTTCATCTTTTGGGTTTTCATACATATTACTTGCGGTAGATTATGTGTCTTGATGGGTAGAGAGGTAGTGCCAACTAGGAAAGATGATGCTTTTACTGTTGCCAAGTTTTTACGTTCTCATATTTTTTGCAGGTATGGCATTCCAAGAGCAATCATTAGTGACCAAGGAACACACTTATGCAACAGGACCATCAAGTCTCTATTGGCTAAACATGGAGTCAATCACAAGCTGGCCACTCCTTATCACCCTCAGACGAATGGGTTAGGTAAAGTCTCTAACCGAGAAGTGAAGCGAATACTTGAGAAGATCATGAAACCATCACGTAAGGACTAGAGTGAAAGGCTTGAGGAAGCTCTTTGGGCTTACAAGACTGCCTACAAGACCCCTATAGGCATGTCTCCCTTCCGATTGCTCTATGGCAAGGCTTGCCATTTGCCTATGGAGATCAAGCACAAATCTTGTTGGACAATCAAGGAATGTGATGCAGATCTTGAATCTTCACTTGTCAATCAGAAGATGCAACTCTAGGAACTTGAAGAAATGAGACTTGAGTCCTATGACAATGCTAGAATCTATAAGGACAAATTGAAAATGATTCATGACAGACAGATTCTGAGGAAGCAGTTTCATGAAGGTGACAAGGTTCTAAAGTTTAAAGCCCGGTTGAAGCTGATACCCGGGAAGTTTGTCACCAAGTGGGAAGGTCCATTTAGAGTTACGAAAGTATATCCTTTTAGCACGGCAGAGCTCATAGATGAGGAGACCGGTATAACTTCACAACTCAAAGGCCATCTACTGAAGCACTACCACAAGGATCAAAGACCTCCCTAATCACATGGTTGTTCCCTTCCACCCTACTCTTTTACTTTCTGTTGTATTGCTGGTGATATCTGTTTGCTGAGATAGTTAGGAGTAAGTGTGGGGGAGGGAACTTTTCCAGTAGTTGTAGTTGTAGCTGTTTATTTCTGTTTAGTAGTTTTGTGTTTTGTTTCCTCTTGATTCTGCCATCTCTTCTGATCACTTGATTTATACTTGTCTATTTTCATTTCACATTATCTTATCCTACCTCTCCCTTCTTTCTTCTTCATGATAGTTACGTGTTATGCTTTGATTTCAAATCGAACTTCACAACTTCCACTTCACCCGAGAGTTTAGGTTAAGATAATGTTGTTTTTCTTACATTGAGGACAATGTATTGACCAAGTGTGGGGGAGGGATTGTTGTTGATTTGTTGATCTATTTTTTTAAAAAAAAAATTTTGCCTTTGGATTTGCTCCTCTTTCCTAAGTATTGCTATTATAATTGCTCTCTTCTTTGCCTTATTGGTTGACTTCTGAATTGCATAGCATGATTTGAGAGTGATTCTTGCTTGGGAATTTTGTTGCTGGTTTCTATGTCCTCTTGTTTTCACTCGCCTCAGTGTTATGCACTGCTGTATGGGATAGTTGCTGTTTTCTTTGTTGCTGACTTGACTTTTGTAATCCTTGGGCATCTCTTTTTAAAATCTTTTTGCATAATGCTTGCGAATATTGCACAGCTAAGTTTGATTGCATTTGATTTGAGTGATTTCTGTTCTTAGTTTATTAGCATAGTAAAATACCTTTGGTGCAGTGTTATTAACCTTGTCTCATAGCTTGATCCTTAAGGAGAAAACATCTTGGAAAAAGCCTTGATGGAAGGATTTTTTAGCCATGTATTCTTTCTAATCTTGTGTGATTTTCATCTAGTTTTGGTTAACCTCTAGAACTTGTTTAGATTCTTTTTCAAAGCTGCATTAATACCTAGATTTGTGAAGATAATAGGGACATTCATTTCTAAACCTTTACCCAAACACAAACCACTTCATTTAACCTTTGTTCACCCCTTTGAGCCTTTACTTTCATTCTATTCATTGCTTTTTAGCAAGTATTTTGCATGAGTTACATTTGGTTTTTCATTTTGCAAAGTACTTCATTAATGTCTATATCTTTGCCTTCTTGGGTTTGGATGCCAAAGGAAAAAAAAAAGCAAAAAAAAAGACATAGAAAAAGGCAAGAAAGGGAAGAAAATGTTTAGAAAAAGCCAAAGAAAGAAAGTTTAAAAAAAACAAGAAGAAGAAAAGAAAATAAGTTGTAACAAAAGAATAAATTTGAAATAAGACATTTCATGGTGGTTTGAAGAGCAAAGATTTCTATTTCAAAAGGTTAAAATCTGCACATTGGTGTTGTTTCATGATTGTACTTTAGCTCACTTTGAGTTGATACTTTGTTACTCATACATTTCACTTGTTAGTCCATTGCATTCATTTGGCCTTGTTTTTTCCGACATTACAACCCTTCAAGTCCCCTTGATCATGAGTCTAAGATATGCTAGTGGTGGAGATATTAGAATCTCTACAAGCTTATGGTACGTGCTAATCTAGGTGGATTGAGTGAAAATTTTCCCCATTTGAGAGATGAGTGAAACACTTGTACCCCATGTGAGCTCTATTATGTTTCTCTTCCTTTATCCTGCCATGTTCTTGTGATAATTTTTTTGCACTAAAGTATTCTATGATTGTTGATTAATTAGGAGTAAGGATTGCTTGAGTTAGTTGCACATTCATGCTTAGTTAATTTTATGGTTGCATGCATTATCTCTCTATTGGATCCCTCTTTATTGATGTTTTGCCCAGAAGTGCAAAAGGCTAAGTGTGGGGGAGTTGACAAAC